TTTTTAGGTATGTTAACTGGTACTGTCTTGAAAAGGCCTAAACTTTCCAGTTGGGAAACAAGTCACTTGTCCTCTGACACTCCCTATAAACCAAGGAGACTTTTTAATTCGATAGAGAAGGAAAAAGGGACTGAAACAGGTAAAGTGAGGCTAGCAGTTAAGGTGAAGTACTTAAATATCTTGTGTTTTATTTTCTTTTGCTGCAAAAAACCATAGCCCTGTGGAAGACTGCAAACAGATATCTCCTACAGGGTCTTGTCTCCAAAATCACAAACGTGATTTAATAATAATCACATTTTGTGCGCTGTTGTCATTGAAAGCAATGCACTTGGGAACAAGGAAATGTAGGCACCTTGACTACATGGTGCAGTCATGAAGCTGCTAAGCACTGGGGGAGTATTTTTTAGTCTTCCTAGGCAGTGATTTTTCCGGAGTTATTGAAGAAAAAATGTGAAAATAAAGCAACTGCAAGACAAAACTTTATTTCAAAATGAAAGCAAGCCAGACTGGCTTCCCACTGAATGGCGGCTAGGGGACAGGGAGAAAAAAAAAAAGTGGGAATTTTATCTGATTTCACTGCATGTTCATGTACTATTGCCTCACTATTTACAAATATATTGCACTTGGTGCTTGGTTGGTGTTGTATCTGTTCTCCTACACTGCTTTCTAACAAGACTTTTGAGTCAGTGTCATTGCCATGAAGTCTAGAAGAGCAATACTTGAGTTCTAGCTCTATAGCAAAAGTTGCTGCTTAAATCCTGCTCTAATAGTGTATGTATTTATATTTTGATAAATCCTCCAGCAAGATACTAATTGGGAATATGCTTTCTTTATAGACCAGCAAATGGATGAAATGGATGACACCTTTTTTTCCAAGATAATGAATGAAGATGTCAGTGATTCAGGGGTTATTACTGCATTTGAAAGCTTTACCAACCAGCTAAAAAAACTGTTCTGGGTAATGTGCACTTTGTGTGTGTGCTTGATGTGTAGCCTTTTCTCATACCATTTAATCACCAGGAAAATTTAGCATAAATCTGTATTTTATGCCCAAGAATGCAGAGTTTGACTGCACTGTCTATTAGCCTGGAGCTCTCTTAAGCATTTCAAAAATCCATGTGTTCTCTGAAGTGTTACAGAAAAGGCAAGAAATGACTTATAAGTGAAACTTTAAGTAGGTTCTTCCTTTTCCTTACTGAATCTTATTTATATGCTGAGAACTCAGATTTGTATAGGCATTTCAAATGCCTATTTAAATACCAATTTACAAATACTTACTCTCATTAGAGGAATGGATCAAAGCGGTGTAGAATACATGCTGCTTTTGAAATATAAGCAGCATACTGATAGCAAACCCAAATTGGGACCCATTTGGGAGACCTGGCAGAACAGATTTATATTGGATCAGCAGCATTGTGCAAGTGTGGCAGCTGTTATTTTATTTTTTACTTTTGATGTTATATGTTCACAGTAAGTTTGGCTTTAATCCTTGAGTCACAGCTGGTGGTGGTTGTATTTACAGTAGAAATCAGTTATGACTAAAATGGATCCAGCTTGCATTAAAAGCGCTCTGAAGCGGTGCTGTTAGAGACGTGGGTTTGTGCAGTTGCTAAGCATGCCAGAATAGAGGAGAAGCTCATTATTAGCTGGTTGGGGTTACTTAGTCCTGATCAAAGTCACACAGGCTGCATAAAGATCTGTTGTTATGACTAATGTGACATAACCCTTTTTAGCTAAACTGAAGGGCCTACTTGGAGAGAGGGGGAATCTTTGGGGAAACCTTTTGCAAACAAGTTTTTTGGGTTGGGCTTTCGTCCTTCTCTGACAGTATGTCTTGTGGTTAGTTCAGGTACAAGAGGATGGAGACTTGTGCACAGAATGCGCTGAGGACCTCTGAGAAGAACGTCTTGACCTTGTTGAGTCAGATCCACGAGTGCAGGTAAGTTGGCTGCTGCTTGCTGAAAATGCCTCTGGCTTCATGTGTGTTTCTGAATACTGTGTAAATTGTGCTGATCGTGGTCTGCAAGACAAAATAGCTTCTGTGTGTTAAGGGTTTTGGAAGYAGCTTGCCTATGTCTCATCCTGCTTTTCCTGTATAGGTAGAAGGAATGGATTAGTGCAAACCAAGCCCTTCATTAAGAGTGCAAGGTGAAGCAGCCCTTCTGACAGCTGTCGATGTTCCCAAATCTGTTAAAAATCCTCTTGCTGTACTTAGTATAGGTATTACTTAGTACTTAGTATAGGTGTACTTAGTATAGGTATTAGTATAGTATAGGTATTAGTATAGGTGTACTTAGTATAGGTATTAGTAGAATACCTATGTATTCTGGACCATATAAAGGAAATTCTCTTATGTTTTACTTAATGGGGAGAAGAAGGAAAGAAATGCAAGGGGTGTTGTTGATGTTTCAAACTTTGCTGCAGATCTACTTCAAGCTCTGTTATGTACACATTTCTGCAGACTGTTTCATTTGGGTATTGAATGTCAGCTAGTGGACTTTACAGGCAGCTAGTGGACTTTACAGTGCTTTATGGGTTGTCAGATTTCTGTGATAGGAGCTCAATTTAAAAAAAAAAAAAAAAAGAGAGAGAATATAGGAACAAGGTTCTCTGTCCTAGGCCTTGGTTACKGACTGCTGTTTGAGAAAGGGTATTTAGCTTCATTTAGTATTCAGTTTAGTGCAGATATTCTTACTCTACGTAAAACTTGAACAAATCTTCCTAATGTGGCTCAGCAAAAATGTCTACTTCTCTATGAAGGCAGGTTCAGTGATGAAACTGGAGCGCGGGATTGCCAGCTGCCTTGTGACATTGCATCGTAAAATGTCTAACTCATTTCTGTTTCTCATCATTAGGCTGAATAAGCTGGAAACCTTCCAAAGGATTGTTGTGGAAGAGCTTGCCAGCCTTGAGAAGGAAACTCAGGTCTTAGCAAACATGGAGAAGGATGCAGTGGTGTGTATGAGTTCTTGGGATAATCCATGGAGGYTGCCTTTGCAAAGTAATGGTGTTATTTGGGCTTTATTATTTATTTATTTATTTATATCTAGGACTTCTGGAATGCACAGGCCCTCAAACTGGATTCTTTTTGCAACCAGCAAAAGCAGCGGTATGTGTCTGCCAGATGTCTGGGTACTCACAAATTCTCTAATGGTCAAGTAGTGCATTAATTACACTAACTGTACTCATACTTATGTATGTGAAGCATTATTTAGGAACAGTACTTGAGGAATACTTGATATATTCTGATACCATCATGACATGAACTGTGTGTTCATTAGTGGAGCCTTTACATCTCATTAAKGTTTTGAATTGAGACTAGGAAGCAACGAGGGATTCCTCTGTGAGGAAACTGCAGAATGAGTATGTGCCTCAAGGGACCTGTACCAYGATTTGAAACAAGATGCATCCTCTGGTTGTGTCTATATATTGTGAGGGAGAAGTTGAATAGCTACTTCATTATAGAAAGGATAATGCTGGGCAAAGAGCAAGTGAGCAGCAAAGAATGAAATCCTCAGGCTCTTCTTGTTGTTAAGTCTCTGAGTTTGCTTAAATTTAATCAGTAAATATTAATATTTGAAGGCAAACTAGTTAAACTTGCCTTTTTTCCAGAATTCAATCTGTTGACTCAGCCCTGGGTGAAACAGCAAAGAGTTTTGTTGAAACCATCCAGAATACTACGGTACGTGTGATATACCAACAACTTTGCGTGGTCTGAGCTGTGGTGTGACTGATAGGTATTGGAACTGAGAAGATGCCAACTGTAGTTCTGGGATTTTACCTGCTGGCTAAGGTCCCATTGCTGCTAGATGGGATATGACCACAAGGGGTTCTTCAATACTGCTGCAACATTTTGCATCATTGCCTGAYTTGAGAGCCAGTTCATCATGAGATACTCTCATCTTAACACAGCAAAGAAGTGGGGTTTATTCTGAAATGAGCCCCAGACTGTGGTGGGGTCACCATCCCTTCCTTCTGCTGCTTGGCACTGAGGTAAAAGGAGCAGTTCAGCCCTTCCTATTTCTCTCCTCTCCATGGGTCATATGGGTCTTATGACCCAGCAGCAGCATGAACTGGAAACCCTCCATGGGGAAGGGGTCATGGCACATTTCTGGTGCTATTCCCTGATTCCCAAATGAGTCTCCCTCTGCAGTAAGAGCTGATGCCGGTGTCCAAGTGCACCGAGTGTATCAGGCTGCAGCCCTTGCCAGCTTTTTCAGAACTTGTCACTGAGGTCCTTGCTGTGCTTTTCCTGATATCTCTCTGTCTACACCCACCTCATCCAAGGTGCTGCCAAGCCATGGGACTCAATTTCCCTGGCCAAAATGACCGGGAGGAGTGGGTGAAGATGGTGCCAAAGTCTGGCTACTGTGGGGTCTGCTGTTTCTCTTATTCTGTAATTTTGATGAGCAAAGCCCTGCTGGGCATTGTCTGCTGCCTTTGGGAACAGCTACTGAGGCTTTGTTGCCCCCACAATTTTTCTGGCCCTTCTCTTTCATCTCCTTTTGTTGTCTTCCATAAAATTTTGTTTCCTTGCTTGTTTTTACTTATTTAGCACCAGCTTCTACAGAGAAGGTCCTTTAATATTTTTAGGAAAGGAATTAATCAGGGAACCATCATGGAAAGCTGTCAAAAAGCAGATGCATAAGGGAGAAGACAAGAATGACAACCATCACTTAGTAATACTTTTCATGACAGCCTTCCCATCCCTTCCTGAGTTTGTATCTTGCGGATTCTCTCATCTGGATGCTGGCTTCTCTGTAGGTAGTGACCCTCGATACAATTCTCTTCTGTCACTTTATCCATATTTTCCCTTGAAGCTTTGCATCYACAACAAATGTTTAGTTTATATCCTCTCCATCCCAACATATATAGAAACACAGGTATTTTTGCTACTGCTGCTCTTCCAGCTTTTATACATAGACCTGATGGGGTTGGGGAGCATGTCATTCCTGCAAAGGACTAGTAGGTTATGATGATTTGTGATGTGTCACCTGTCTGTAGTACATGAAAAGCTGAAGAAAATATCAAAGGAACAACCATGTTTTAAGTCACCTAAGATGTGTAGATCAGGCCTGGAATTTGAAAAAAAACGTGTTGAAAATTAAGACCTTCTTTCACGTATGTATTGGAGCTTGGATCCTGAGCCTTTCTATAGGAAATGGTTTAAATTATGAGCACAGGACTGCTCAGGAACGTAGGTGTTTCCCATGCCGTAGGTGCTGCTGAAATGTACCTCTAGGACATAGAAATCTGAGGAAGAAGCTGTTGTTTCATGGGAGCTGCTCATTCTGCAGCACCTTGTTCCTGGCTTGGTAGTGAAAATTAGTAACTTAATCCAGGTGTGGCTCTAGTATCTCTGCAGTTTCTTCTCTTATAAAAAAAGAATTTCTATTACCTTTTGAAATGTTGGTTACTTCTTTTTCTCCCCTACAGTATGAACTCCCAGAGAAGAAGGCAACAGATAATGCTGTGTTCATTGTTTCTTCTGACTAATGAACCCCTGAATCCCTAAAGGCTCTTAATGACATTTCAGCTGCTTCGGGATCAGAGAGAAGAACTTTGGGTCCTGTGGAGGATATGTGAATGTATTGTAAATRGAAAGAAAATTGGTGGGCAAATGCCTTAAGCCTTCTTTGTTGTTTTAAAACAAAGTTATGCTGCCAGAGTGGTCCGGTTTTGACCACACTGAGTTTTTCTGCAAAGTAATTGCAAGATAGGTCTACTATCAAAAAAACAAAAAAAAATGTGTGGAGGGAACTAAATATGGTTTAGTGAACACATTCTTTCTTTGATACCTTCATCAAATGTAAAAGCACCAAGTGATTGAGTGTAAATAAAGCATTATTTGCATAGACTAACAAGCTCCTTGTCTTTTGAGTTGCTGTACTTTGCAAGCCTGTCCAATGTACATGCCTGKGGTGGGCTGTGCTGCTGCTGTGGGTGCTGCTGTGTGTGTGTGCAGCCTGGGAAATGCTGTTTTGAAGTCTCAGCCACTCTATTGTGCACTGCAGAAATCAAAGCTCAAGCAGAGGGAGCTACTGACYGTCAGTTCCGTCTAAAGTGGGTGCCTGGTGGCAAACTGCAGTGAAGGCTATGGAGGGCAAAAAAGTTGGAGCAGTACAGAGAAAATAGGAAGTGAGGCTGGATAAATCATTTTGGAAGCCATTGGCTGTTGGCTTCAGGGAGAGCTCAAAGTGCAGTGAACCAAGTTAGGCTTAGATAAGCATCAAAGGTCCCTCAAAAATTAATAGAAGATAAACATTGCTATTTAATACCAATCTCTGTTAAAACTGTACCCTTTAAATTATAATTGTTTCTCTCAGACTCTCTTTAATCCTGGGACAGACTTACCATGTTCCTGTGCATATTAATGATTTTGTGGGAATATGGCCTCTTTCCAAGCACTCTGTTTTTATCCATGTGCAAAACAGACCTCAGATTAGCTCACGAGTTGGAATCAAAGGGATCATTCCCTGTACACCATGTGCTTCCATAACAAGAGCCCAGTTTTGTCAGTGCTTGTTTTGCCCTGTAATATTTTTGGGGGAGCTGAAACTGTTTCTGTTGGGTGGTAATGAAGTTTTTTCCAGCATGCTTTGTGTCCCACCGGTATGGTATGACCACTGATCAGCAACAGCTTTAATAAAAGTACGCCATGCATCTGAGCATCTCTTCATGTTGCATGTCTCTACTAGATCCAAAATTGATTACCAGCTGAGGCTTTTACTGTCTGAGTTGTAGTATCAGCCCCTGCTAGGGTAAGTGCTTGAGCTGCTCTGTTGCTGCTTCTTGCAACTCAGAGCTCACAGTAGTGAATATAGGAGGATGTTTTGCATATGCATTGCTCCCAGGCCTAAGTACTAGGACCTGCCTTCCAAAAGTTCCTGGGGAAATACCACAACGTGTCTGTGTGTGTATTCATTATCCCAGCAGCTGGACGAGCACAACAGATGTAACAAGGTGAAATAACCTAAATCAGACAAAAGTAGGAAAGGGAGATTCCTATGTGGCAGCCCTTATTGTAGGCTGAGTTGTGCCAAACTCCTGAGGCTGTGTTTATAACCCAAGTGTGTGAGACATGTGCCAGCAGAGCAGACTTTGAGCTGGGATTGTGTTTTTTTAATTTATTTATTTATTTATTTATTTATTTTTTTTTGCTCATCTGCATCCCTGGCAAGCTTCTTGCCTGAAAGGAAAAGTTTGAAATGGCAGATGAACCATGGCGCCCTCTCTGATTTAAGGACTCATCTGCTTGGTTAAAGTTTTTACTTCAGTAAGGTATCTGTGCTGACTGATGTTTCCTAGGGCTGTGTTTCCAGGGAAACTTTTTTTTTTTTGAAGTCCCTTCCAACCATAACCACTCYGTGATTCTGTGATTTATGATTTGTTAGCACAAGGGGTTAGGTACATAYGCTACACTCTCTCAATCATTCATCAGTGTTAATAGGATGCTCTTTTGCATCTCCTGTGACAGTACAAGTGTGGGGACATTTCTCACTAAGTATCTTTCAATGTATCTTTGTCAAAGGATTTAGAGAAATGAAACCGATGCACACTTCATCTGTTGTTGTTTGGTCCTAGTGTAATCTGTCACCACACAACTCGGAAAGCAAACGTAGAATGGATCAGAAAATTTGGGCAAAGGAGAGATTAGTATTTCTAACATTAAAAATCATCATCCTCTATGTGCTCAAACTTGCTGGTAACCCTTGTGTTGGAAAGACCTGAACTCTAAAAGATTGTTTTCAATGGTAATGTGGTATGGGTTGTAGACAGGCAATCTTATCACAGCTGTGCTGCTGGGTCAGCTCAACATGTTTGAGCTGAAATCCCTTGAGCATCTAAAGTCCACTTGGCTTCTGAAATTGATTTTTTTTCCCCCTCCTGGCAGCACTGTGCTAGACTGGGTTACACTGACATTTTGTCTCTGGAAGGCAATTAGTTGAATTTTGGCATCTTTGCTGAGCAGGTTTCCTTTATCTACCTGCTGAAGCACTGATGAATGTTATTTTCTTCCTTTCAATGTAAACAGACAAAGCTCAAATTTCAACTTTATTCTTCTGAGCCAGAACAACAAAGCTCATGTGAATGCTTAGGACCTTGAGAATGAAAAGAATGCATTGGTATCTGGAAAAAGAAACATGAATTATGAAGCACAGGTTAAGGATAATTGTTCATACTTTAAAATTTTTTAACCAGTTTAATATTAAACTCTTGTTATATCCCCTGGTATCTTTACATCATATTCYTTTCAGCTGATGAAACTATTCCAAGGAGTTGTTTACACACGTGTTCTGTATAGCCTCAGTGATGTGCACAGGCTCAGAGAGCTGCTGTTATCAGGGGACAAGGCCACCTGAATGCTGCACGTGCTTGCCCGGGAGGGGTCCTCCACTGGAGGAAACAGACACAGTGACCACAGGAGTCCTATGAGTTTGCCCTGGTTCTGGGTCAGCCAGTCCTGCTGACACAATTAAAGCACAGAGATGTGGGCTGAGACGTGTTCTGCTTCTACAAATTAGATAACCACTCTTTCAGGAAAGGTCATCTCCCTTAAAATGGTGCCCTGGGACAAAGGTGCATTTTTGGGAACTATTGGGAACTGTTGTTTATTCAAACCAAACAGAATAACAGAGCATTTCCTGGTCATACATAGCAGGCTGGCTTTTGTTCGTCAGGAGTAAGAGCTGGGAAAACATTACTTACAGCTAGGTAGTGGTGTAACTGTGAAGCTGGGCACACTTGAGCAGTCTGAGTTCTCAAAATCCAGATAATCTCTCCAAATTCCGTGACCCAAACATTTTCTTCTGCTTCCCTTCTTCACCCACGCATACCCTTTGCTAAGCACAGGTCAGCAAAGCCTAATGTTTGCACATCTTCCCTCTCTCTGAATCTGAAATATATCATGCTTTTGTGGTTGTTTTCAGCTGGGATCTGCTGGTAGAAAATTGAAGGCAGAGGTGATGAATTTGAGAGTCATCAGGATAATCCCTGATGGACAAATCCTAGTTCTGAACAAACAATTTGCAACAGTAGCTTGACTTAAAAGAATTTGTATAGAGGGAATAGAGCTATGTACGGAAAGGTAGGGGTTTCCAACTTCATTGCCATGTGATTTAAAAAAAAAAAAAGGTGGTGCTGGGTAGTCCTGTCTAGTTTAAAATTAATCCAGAAGGCATGCAGGGTATATGATATTTCAGTGGGCATCACATCTAAGTTTGGAAAGTTCAAAGGGGGTGGAAGAAGTTAGATAAACATAACCATCTCCTGAAACTGTAGTGTCCTGTTGGAAAACAGCCCTCAGTCTTAAAAAGTATGTCTCTCTATAATGCTAACTAGGTGGGTATTAGACCTGGGGATGTGCCTAGCAAACTTCATTTTCAGGTAATAGGATGTGGAGAACTTCCTGGGACTTGTGTCTAAACATAGCACAAGAACAGTTTAGGTGTATGGAAGATAGGGGATCAACTCATTAAGGACAGGCAATCTCTGCTAAGAAGTCAAAGGTGGAGACTGCCACTTTTCCTGAATGAGGCTCCAAGTGCCCTGGGAATGCCTACCTGCCAGAACTGATAGTCTATATATTGGTGTGAGCCGCTGTCTGACTGAATCCTCTTTGTGACTATCATTTTTTATAGCACTTGACCCTGAGAATAACACCAACTCTTTTTTCACCTGTGATCCACCACTTCTGGAAGGTAACACCAAGGACAGGGACTTATGGTATCAAGGATTCCTTTGCATGCAACTTACTTCTGCATTTGACTGCCTGGTGACTCCTGACAAGTTGAGTTGAAAAGATCACAAACAATTTTTCAGTTAAATTCCCCCAACGGGGAAAGGATATTGCATGACTTGAACATTTTTCTTCTCACTTTCCACTTGTGGTATATTTGCGTACTGTAAATGTATGCAAAAAAAAGTTWAAAAAAATCCTATTAGCCGATCTCAGACACTAATTTGTGTGTGCACGTGAGAGCGATGTGGAAATGTCGTCTGTTTAGTTACAGCTGAAGCTTTAGCTGGAAATGGATGAGGAAGGCAGAGATCAGCCAACAGCTGTACTAAAGCATGTAGGAGTTTTACTTCACCGTCACAGCGGAGGACRTTTCTCAATCTGAAATGAAAGTCCCAAAAGTTTAAAAAAACAATTTCAGAAAAAATGAAGTCTTAAGTACCCATTTCTCAGAATTTTTACACCTTAAATAAAGGGGAGTGAAGAAATTCCTGATAGTAAAATTTGTTTATTTACAGTGTTATGTATTACAGGAAAATCAGTTTAAAAAGTCAATGTTGCTTTCTCTTCAAAGTTGCAGCATTTAAGATGTTAAGACAGATTTGCAAAATTTAAAATGTACCTGCTTTCGGACTTGCTGGTAGTCTGGATCTGCAGGGTGAGACCATCTCTCTTTTTCTTTTTTTTTTTTTTTCCTTTTTGTTTATTTATTTTTTTTCCAGCCCTTTGAGCTTCAAGTAAGGCATTTTTTCTAAAGTTTTTAAATTAGGTTTCAACAAAACAAAAGCAAAAACAATTTCTGTGGGTTTGGCTGCCATGGCAAACTTTAACATTTAGCCTGTTGACACTGTCTGTGTTGACGGTGTCATCCAGACAACGGGATACTTTGCCATCAAAAGGTTAYGGACTCCTTTCAGACTAAAACCCGTGCTTGGCTGTGCAATCGTCCTGGTGTTTGCCTTAGGTGAGCAATGCAACTGTGCGTCTTGCCGTGACTTTGAAGCTCTTCCATTTATGCAGGGTCATGTGCAGCACCTTCAGTAAAACCTACAGGGTGCTTACAATTTGTGAGTTTTGTGGTATCAACCAGTTATATTTTCAAAGAAAGTTTCTGGAAAGGCCAGCAAAAATCAGTAGGAGTGCACAGAGTACAGGCTCCATCACTGCGTTTTTTTGGTTGTCATCTTCTCTCCTTGGCAAATTTTAAAAATAAAGCAAAATGATGACTTGCACTGTTGTCATCTTCATGAGGAGCGAGCAAACATGAAGACAGCAACATGCAGCAGCTAGATGAATGCTGGCGGCTTGCTGTGCTTGAATGTTGAAGTTGTTTTGGTCACCCAGTTTATGATGGCACAGTTTAGCAGCCTGGCTGCTTAAGCATTCTGTATACACCACAGTTTTATGAGGAATTCAGTTTTCTGATGGAGCTGATGGGTTTTGTTCACAATTCCAATAACTGAGCAGTAATGGGAATTGATTCAAATCATACCCTGAGAGAATCACTTTGGTTTGAGAGATCTGCTGGTCTGGGGCAACTCTGGAAAGTGTTTCTGTTAAGAGTGTTTTTGTTAGTCTTGTAGTGTACTAATATTTGGCATTTCATGCTTCAAGTTAGCAGTGTTTGTACAGAGTTAGTTTTCCTTCATGCACCTTTATGATCGAAGGATTTATCTTCATTAAGTTGTTGAGCTCCCCTTTCTTCCAGAAGCCACTGAGTTAGGACTCCTATTAACTTAGCACATTCAAAGGGACTCACTTTGCTCCTACTGGAGCTCAAAAACCCGTATTATTGTTCAATAATGTGTAATCTAAACCCTACAGCTTGCAGCCTGCTGGTGCTACCAGTCCCAGATCCCTGAAACAAGAAGCTCCCACCACCTCAGGCTGGAATCTCAGTGTGCAAAGCAAGCAAGCATGGGGTATGTCTGTCTGTCTGCAACCCCTATGATGGTGCCTGGGCTTGCCCTCTGCCACATCCCTCCTGAGAGATCCTGGGAATGTGGGGAAGGCTGGACCCAGCTAGTGGACCAGCAGGGGGGCATGGTGAGGGAAATAGTATGATTCTCGTATCTTTTCCCCCTGTTCATTTCTTCTTTTTTGATCTTGACCATGGTTTAGCTGAGCTTGTTGCAAACCCCTGTTTCAAGACTTCTCATGCACACAGAAAGCACTCAACCTGTTAATCTGAACAGAGTCCTAACCTTCTGAAGGCTTCAGTGGATTTCTCCATGAAGTGCTTTATAAGGCTTTTTCATTATTATTATCATATCAGAAATAGACATGTGAAAAGTTTATTTTCTTTTGCATAAGAGAAAGATGATATTTCTCTTGGCCTTATTGCTCTGATGGTGATTTTTGACAGAGCTAGTAAATTTACTTGTTTTGTTAAAACCTAAGTAGCAGTACATTAGTGACTGGTATGAAGAAATGATAAATGCAATCAAATGGGGTTTAAGCTACAGCTTGTAATTCAGTCTTTTTTTTYAGAAAAAAAATACTACACCGTAGTATTGAGTTACTTATTGGGCTTTCTTATTGTTCGGGAATCCATTGGCAGTAGTAAAGTAGTCCTTATGGAAACCATTCTTGATTTCTGTTGTGAGAGTAGTTTCCTTTATAGTCATTCTTGAAGATGCTTTCCGGTATGTCTACAAAAACGAAACCCAAACTTGAATTTGTTTAGTGCCCCCAAAATACTGTTTATGGTTAACTGTGGTAAACACACACACACATATATATATATTGTTATATATACATGGAAATACAGTATTTTTTCTTCTGATGCTTGTTCTACAGTTAGGTTCATCAAGTCTACTAAGCACAAAGTCCCATTCCATCCCTCCCAGCCTCATCAGAAAGATCTTGGCAGACTCCTTACCTTAATATAAAAGTTTACGAAGAGAATAACCAACGTGGCCATATAGGATGACTGGAACATGAGGCAGCCAAATGGAAACCCGCACGGCTTCACAGCCGCACTGAGTGTGTGYGCAATAGTGAGCAGAAACTGGATCTGTAAGAGAAAGACCATACATGAGTATTTACTGAGTTAAATCAAATACAATAATGTCACCTAGAGCGGCTCTGAAATTGGAGGCATTCCTGAAAACATTTCCTTTCTGAGCCTGTGGACAGTTTGTAAGGGTTATGTTGCGATGGCAGAAGGGATTGCAGATGGGTGTCAGCCTCTTGGGCTTCCAGCCACAACCTGTGCTACTGCATCTGATTCTCCCCAGGCAGCAAMGGTGCCCCTGATCCCACGTGCTGGAGGTGCCCTTTGGAGGGAAGCAAGGTTCAATTGCAAAGACCATCCCCGCCAAGAGAGGATACACTTTCTGAAGGTGTTTCTACAAGGGCATTTTCAAGCTTACTGCAAACATCTTAACTCCCAAATAAGACAAAGAATCATAGAGTGCACACACATTAGAAAAAGTTTCTGTCATATCAAGCCCTTTTATCTTGAGACAAGCTTTTGATGCAAGTGAGTTCTGTATATGGCAATCGCTGGAATAGACTTTTTTAAGTCAAGTGCTTTCTATCTTGTTGTCTAACAGCCTGTCTGTTTGCAACATCTGGCAATTTGTAGTGTGGTTGCACTTCTTGACTCTTTGATTTTTCTTCACTAGATGAGAGAGTTTTACAAGCTCTCTTTACAAGCTGATATGGTTTTACAAGGTCATATCAGAACTGTGCAGTGCATATTTTAACRTCCTACATAATTGATGGATTTTATAACTTTCTAATCAAGAATCCATTTACTGTGATTAAATACTGTCTATTTTCTATTTAATAGGCCATAAATAATGGGGCTTTATGGACCGTAGAGTTTCTACTTGATAGTAGAAAATATTTCTGAGCATAATTTCTCTTATTAAATCATTATTTGTAGTAGTATTTCCCCATACTATTGAACTAATCTGCATGATTGTTTTGTTCAGTTTGAATTACTTTAAATTACTGGCTTAATTCTGCAAGTGACACTATGCACTTTTCATTCTTTTTGCCCTCTCTGACATTTTGAAGGATTTCTGGTAGTTAAAAATGAGAGACTAGAAGAGAGACATACCAGTTGTGCTTGAGTGAGGTACTTCTTCCACCAGAGATACTTGCGCATGGAAGGGATGACTGACAGCCCATAATAAGAATACATGAGCACATGGATAAAGCTATTCAAAGTAGGTCCAAAGAAACCTATAAAAATCCAACAAGGAAATCATTTTGTATACCAACTGTTGAAAGCTGAGAGAAAATACTGCTAAATCCTTCATCTACACTTCTCCCTGTAAGTGCTTTACTTTGACTTTGTACCGCTCAGAATGAGTGCAACAGAAGCAAAGGCTACTTTCTGTTTTGAAAGACCCCTGTAACAAATTGCTTTGCAAAATATTACATTACAAAATATTACAGGAGACTGAGGAGCTTCAAGTTAAAAATACTTATTTTCTGCTCAATTACAGTAACAAGACTACTGGATGCTTCTGCCTGTATGAAGCCCTGGATAAATATGCCTGCTGCCAAACACTTGCAGTGCTTCACAGGTGTTTTGCAGTATACCAATGGCAAGTGAGCAGCCCCTGCACATCTCCCTCACTGCAGCAGAGAAGACAAGACAGTTGCTATATCCCAGTAAGYTGAAAGTGGTCTAGACTTTCAGACTAAAGAAGGCTTCTATTTCTGCCATTTCCATGCAAAATTGTGAGATGGTATTGGTTAGACCTGGCAGTCATGTTCACAGGTCAAACTGCATGTTTGTTTTTGCTGTAGGCTTGCATGGAAGCAGTACTGAGCTTGACCTGCAACCCTCAACATGTGCTCATGCCAGTTMTACTGTAAGCATAAAAGTGTCTATGGATTTTATAAATTTATGTAACTTTTGAGGGTCTCTACTGCATAATGATATGTGCTAATTGCTAAAACAATCCCTGATTKTACTAGAGTCATAGCTTCGTTCTACTCCTGCTTTTGGAGTACCTCTTGCATGTACTCACTCTTTTGCATACCGCTCAATAGTTTTATCCTGTCTAAAACTGGTTTGGAGAAAAGCAGGTCTGAGAGACTGTGGCAGCTAAGTGATAATCCAGGGTCTAACATTCAGAACTAATTTTCCCTGAACTCTTACCCATKCTTTTATCCTTATAGAGATCTGCAAGTGTTTAGCAGTTCTGAAAGGTATGTCTTGACCTCAATAAATCACATAGCATATTAATGCACTTGCTCTGCGTGCTCATGTGGCTCCCACCCAAAGTAAGGTGATCTATACCCCAGGTAATGAAGACTTACTTTGACCACAAGGTATCCAATTCAGAACACACCACCAAATGTTAAACATAGTGGCATGGTGATACACATGAAGGAAGGTGATCTGGTTGCTTTTCTTTCTCAGTACAAAGAAGATRGTGTCCATGAATTCAATTACTTTGGAAAAATAATACCACCACAGCACCTTGGCTACCTGTAAGAACAGAGGAACAGAAGATCAATAGCTGTATATAAAAGGGCTTAAATAGTGCTGCTCATCAGTCCTTAGACATAACTTCCCACCAAAGTATCTGTATCCTTTTGAAGGAGGAGCACAAGTTCTCACTTCAACTTTTTTTCTCTTGAAGGAGGCAGTTCAGAGAAAATTCATCARTTTTTTTGTGATTGTCTAATTAGCTATGGTTTGGGAAATATACTGCAAAATTTGAGGAAGGCTCTTCAAACTATTCTAACAATTTATTATCAAATAGACAGCCCCTTAAAACTGCTGCCATATACAGATCCTTGTTACTGAACCCGTGCTGGCAACTGCTTGTTTTTAAACAATTCAATTTTGAGACTCAACACAACGGAATAAGCCATCGTGCCTCAGTTGAGCTGAAACAGCTTATCAGAGCTCAAAATATGTCCTGGGATATTACAATTTTGCAGAGCCCTAAGTATTACACAGAGCATCAGAACGTGCATCTGCTGAGCTGGAAGTAAATGATACTTGCTTTGCCAGCACTGCAGTAGCTTAGACCAAGGGCAGCACGACTGCACGGCTGCCTGTAGCCACCCTTGGTGGCTAAGATGATGAGCAGAAAGTTTAAGGACAATTAGTTAAAACAGAAAGGTGGAAAGCACCCTGCTGATAGGAAAATGCATTTAAGTGACTGTTCACATGTCAAAACAAAAGCAAATTTGGTAGGAGTGGTGTTAGGGGAAATGATATGAGCTATCTAACCCGTCTGCCCAAGCTCCAACTGAATCTGGAGAGTTATCCCAGATCAGGGAACAACAGATGATTAATGCACAGAATTGCTGTGAGGTAGAAATAAAGTTTGGAATGAAAATGAGCCAAGGCAGCAAAATGGCTCATTTCAGAGCTCGTTTCCAGAGTTTAGAATTGGGCTTGAATTCGTTTACAGCTAGAGCTCAACAGATGTTACATTTTACAGGATTTTTCTCAAAAAGAAATCTTGGATGACTCATATTTTCTGGTCTAATAGTCACAGAGCACTGTTTTGATGGCAGATGTTGATATACAGCTTTTAGAGCTGTATATCAGCTATGTTTTGCTATGTTTTCTGTAGAAAGGATGCATCTATACTGATTCAAAACCAACCAAMCAAACAAAAGATCCACATTTCCCATCGACTGTGAGCAATTAGGCAGCACAATCGAAGTGCTCGTGCTAGGGGTGYTCCTTATCCGTGGTGTGCGGCGCCGGGCTGAGCGGCGCCCGCGGCTCACCCGGATGTCGGCTTCGCCCGCGCTGTGCAGGTTCTGACACTGCAAGTTGTAGCCTCCTTCCCACGTGGCTAGGATGAGCTGCAACAGAAATCAGGGCTGTTACATTCATGAACACACGCAGGGGCTCTCTTTCTGCCCTGCAGGTGTTTTACAGTTTTGGAATGAACAGCATAGGGATATGGGAGGTGCCAGCTCATCACATGAAATGATGCTGTTAAACCAGACAGCTTGCAGCTGTCTCCTGTGTGCTGGAATGGAAAAGGCATCAGGTTGTGATGGAAAGATACACTGAAATGATACACCTTTTACCTTTCCCTGGCTTTAATGCTTTCTAAATATTCTTTAAAACAACATTACTATTGCAGTGGTCCTCATCCCAAAACTCATGCTTGAATATTTTGTCTCTGACATGAAGCAACATGGACAGTGCTTACCATGTATGGCAAATTCCTTCCTGTCCTCAGGAAAAATATGCCAGGCCACACAAGCATACACAAGGCAACCCCAAAGCATGGAATGAGAGAAATGCTTCCCTAAATTTCTTAGCAGGGCTCTGGTGCTGCCGTCTAGCAGCCTGTCGTGGTGCACCAAAGCACGAGCGCACATCAAGCTGGGAAGCTGACAAAGCAGCAAAATGTCAGACAACTGCACGGTGCTGAAGCTCGAGGTTTCTGGAAAGCTGTAGCTCTTCAATGGGATATTTGTGCAGTAATGCTCAATCATATTCCAAAAGCGCTGCCTGCAGCCATYGGCAGCACTTTTGGAAGAGGGAATGTAATCCGTTATCCATACATGCTATGAAACGAAGGTCATTTACTTAAGAAGCTCTTGCTTACTTCTGAATACATGAACAGTGTTTCTCAGGGCTAAATCAAGGAATTCATAGTTTCGGGTCCCTCTCTGCAGAGGATGCAGGTTCTGCAGGGAGTAGAAGCACAATTTAAGCATTGTGCTGTAAGCAGAGTTGCAAGAACCTGTGAGAAGCGGGTTGCTTTCAGCTTAGGCACTATATTAAYGAGGAAAATACACACCAGGGTCTGTACAAACAGATCTCCCGTCTGCTTCAGCCTGTCAATAACCTGTCTATGACATGAGCTCCTAAACAAGCCCTCTGCATGTCTGATACAGAAACTGGTGCTTTGACATGAAACATCCACATCCAAGGTCTCTTTTTCTCTGAGAGCAAAGTTATTTGTTACTTTCATTATTTTAGTTGTCCTCCCTTCCACGCATTGAGCACTGTCCTGGTTCTGCAGAGTTGATAGTACCGTTACGCATGCAAAGACTGTGCCAAGTGTGGGCTGTATTAGGGCAATTAGAAGACCTTAAATAAACTGTAGTCTGACAACACTATACACTACATAAGGAAATGGTTGGGGATAGATGATTCAACCTAAGACTGAGGAATCTCAAGATTGAATCAAGACTGAGCGGATTCCAGGATATCCCAACCTTGTCAATTGGTCAGTGCCTCAATTTTCCCAGTCACACCATTTGTTAGTACTGATGGCATACCTGACAGCTGCTCAATACTAAATACTCCACAAGATTTTTCACACACAAAATATTTTGTTGGCCCTCTCCATGAAGCAGCCAAGACATTTTAATGGGGACAGAAATGTAACAAGAATGCTTTTCCTAGGTAAGGCTCTTCATTTCTTCTGTAGGCCTAGTTAGAGGTCCAATAATTAACTGCTTGGTGGGTCAGATAAAATATTTGCTAATTCTGCAATACATTGGTTRAGGATCAATATCCTGATAGGCAGTGCATATAGCTGGATCCATGCTAGGTCTCTCATAGATAGCCAGGCATGCTATCTAGGAGGATGGTGTATTTGGCAGGGAAGAGAAAGAGGTATCATGTTTTCTTTCTGTCAATGAAAACTCCTTCAAAAAGCAACTTATGTTGCAGAGAAACTTCCAACCAGTTCTGTTCAATGCTTGTTAAGTGGAGATGGTGACATTTTGCGGTTTAGGTCTTTCTCCTTTTCCCACTGCTCCCTTCCCCCAGATGATAGAACAGTGCACTTCATTGCTTCTGCTCTCCCACTTTGATCTTTGCTCACTCCCCAAGATTTCTGCTACATTAAATGAAGCTTTCACTTAAGCATCAGTGTATCATTATTTTCTTTTTTTGCTAAATATAAATTTGATAACTTCTAGGCAATTCATTAAGAACAGACAACCATTTGTTTGAGTCCTTTTTTTGTAAAGCATTATGCTGAAGTTAATAATCTATGGTTTGATATAGTGAAATTCCAAGACAGTTGGAATTTCATCCTTCATCCTCGCCTGTGCTATTAAAACTTCACTTAACATCCTCTACTTCCTTTCACTGTGGTATCTGCAAGCAGCACTGACTTTGGCTCCAAATCAAGAGATCTCACTTGCAAATTCTGCTTTTCAACATGCAGATGGTTACTCGCTTACATTCCTTAGGGTTTGTAGTATGTCTGTGAAGCTACACAGGGGAGTAGGCAGCTTTAGCAACCATGTCATCTATGCATTAATGAAATACATCTGTACATCTCCTTTCTGATCTGACACACACACTGCCTGGTGTTCCAGTGCCTGGTCGACAAAAGGTCTTGGATGAGAGCTTGATGACTAGTTGAGTTCACTTCTCGGACAGACATGATGCTACTGGTCATTGAGAGGTCTTTCTGTTCATAGATTGTTCTTCTAAGATCTTAGACAGAGGTTTGTGTATAGAAAAGATATATTTTACTAAAATTGTTAAAAGTGTCTTTTTTTTAAAATTAAAAATGGTGATGGTTGTTTTCCTTTATGCAATTTTTTGGTAATGTTTCTGGAAAATGTTGTATCAGTAGTCCTGATTTGGACTGTAGACACTTAATGCTTCAGAAGCCCAAATATCCAATGACGAATGCCTAATACAGCATTAGCCTGTAGAGGCAGGGTGGAGGAGTCACCTGCACCTTCTGGCAGGCACATTACTTGCGTTTAAATTTTAGGTAACCGAGAAAGCTGTGCTCCATAGACAAGTAGCTTACTCCACCACTACACTCAGTGGCAAGAAGTGGGTGTCTTTGAAGGCTTCAAGGAAGTCCATCTAATGTAATGCCTGATAGACTCCCTTTATGGGAGACCTTCAAAGGCACCTAGCTCTCTCTCGACCCTCTCCTTCCCCAAAAAAAAAAAAAAAAAGATTTGGGCACAATTTTTCTTCTTSAGACCTTTTTCTATGGTCTCAAGTATAGAGACCAATGAAATATCTTTGGATATTTTATGCAAGTATCTTTGGATAGCAGGGATGCTACCTAGTACCATGTAYCTAGTGGCACATTTCACAGTTTCACGGTTCCTGGTGATGTTGTTCAACATATCTGAGGAACTGATTGTCTTCAAGACTGATGGAGCTAAAACTCACTCTCAGCCCCTTCATGCCCATCACATCATGCATGGATCTTTGGCATAAAAGGGGATCTGCCCTTGGAAATTTTAAAGCACAGTCAATGTGTTATGACTCTTTGCTATAACCATTTTCTTCCTGCCCTGAGGTTGTATGACTCTGCTTCAGGCAACAGATAGCTAAGCTATTTCTAGCACAATGAGGAGATAAAGTATGACAGCACACGTCTTCCATAGGATAGTTTATCCTGTTTTTCATTAAAACCAACATACATGATAGCCTGCAACCGAGATGCACCCTAATATGGTCTATTTTTTTTCCCCTTTGAATGTCTAGGAAGTACTTACTCCATTCTGGAGATAACATAAGAAAAGTTGTGTCTTATAAAGAAAACCAAGATGAGACAACACTGTTTCTGCAGCTGATCCATAACAGAGATTAGAAGAGTGGAGAGTGAAATGTGAGAGTGGAGAAATAAGACTGTTGTTATGGACCTCTCTAATTAGGAATTAATCCTGAAACAAACTCACTGGAGAAATCAACTGCTTTTACATACAAAATCACTGAGCAGACTGCTCTAAATTCAATTAACTCCTGTGCTAAAGAGCTTAYAGTTGACAAAAGTCAGAGAGCAGGATCAAGAAAAAAAATTTTTTTGACATGAGACATTTTGAAATGTTGACTCATCATAACTTTACTCCCTAGTAAAAATGACTTCTGCCTATTCTTCCTCAGCAGTGATGCACAAGCAACCTCATATGGGGCTGCAAGCCTCAACTTCCATTCTGCTCCTTTGGAGTGAAAGCCATGAACAGAAACCAGGTAAATACAGGAAACTACAGAGCTGCTGTTATGTAAGAGGGGCTTGTAGAGAGTGAAACCAGCCTGGTGGACAGTCCAGAACTGAGAGTGCAATCTGAAAAAAAAAAAAAAAATTAGTGGGCAAAGCATCAAGCACCTCTGACTTTGTGTTTCCTGTGTTCCTGACAAGTGAAAAATGTCACTTGTGCCCAGTAGCCTCCAGCGACAGAGCCAAGAACTAATCTGTGGGTTTGCACAACTCAGCAATAACCACCAGCAAAGTTAGAATCATGAAACAGGAGGAGTAAGGCAGGGGAATAGGAGCTGACTCAACACGGTACCTACAAGGACATGAAGGTGGCTAAAACTTGGTTTACTCCACTCAGACAAGCCAGGCCAGCTATTACTCTTTTCACTTGCTTGGGAAAATCTGAATTGGGCTGCAAGGGGAAAAGAGAGTGAAAGAGAGTGGTTTTTTTTTTAAGTCAAGGCAGAAAAAGTTTTGTGTTTTGTTTGTTTTTGTTATTGGTTTATTCCTCTTAGAATTTACTTTTTAGGGTCACAAGCAAGGGATGATAACAACTTAATATAAAAAGAACCTACGTTATCACAAGGGTTAAAATGGGGAGCTCCCAAATATCATCAAAGCAGTGATGGTTGGATTCTGTTACCCAACTTAATTTTCAGCTCTGAGGGAAGTGACTTTTCTGGGCTCCATATGCTGCTGCTGCTGTGCAGCAGTTGAAGATGCTGTGATTTCAAGGGAGGATGTAGAAGCTGGAGTATTCCACAATAACACTSAATTGCCAATTCTGTAAATAACTCAGTACTTGTTCTCCCATATAAATCTGCCCACATTTKAAAACGGCCATTTGTTCAAAGAACAACCTTCCACAGATATTTTTACAATCCACAGATGTTCATATAATCCCAATYCCTTGGCATATTCATGGGTGCTGACGTGTGATGTGTTTCAATTGAGCAGCTGCTCAATTAAAATATGGTGAAATCTATAATGAGAAGGTACTGTACAAGTCACCGATCAACTGCCAAACCTTCTCAGGAACTTTTCTTGATATTAAATTGCTTTGCTGCTGATGATAAATCTCATAGCAAGACTATCTATTGCTAAGATAATTCTGTTAAAAACAGTACATTGCTCTCTGCTTACCTCGATGAACATGTACAAGGAGAGCAGTGTGATCCCAAGGTTATATACAATGAGGAGAGCCCTGAGTGAGAAAGCCGGCCTGTTCTTCATGAACCGGTTGCCCAGCCATATGCAGAGCAGGTATGCTCCAGTGAGGAAAAATGTGGGAAGGTAAGAGTCCAGAAGGAACCATCCTCTAACCCTGGTATCTGGAAAGAAATACATGCAACAAACAATTAAAAAGCTTTTGTCAGAGCAGTGCTTAAAGTAGGGCATGGTACATTGCAAAAAGRGCTGCTAAAAGCACAAGAAGGAGCCTGCCATGATCTGCACACTTCAGGAAATATCTATTGTATTGAACTCCCCAATTTGTCATATTCATTTTGAATATGTGTAGTGAAAACCACATAAACTTTGCTAATAATCTGAGATCTCTTAACTCTCTTTAATAGAACAGAGAAAATGAAAGGAAGAAAACATATACCCTTTTTTCCTTTAAGTTAAYACTTAAATTATGTCTGTTCATATCATGAATTCTTGTTTTTCACTTTCAGGTTTGTCAATTTTTTCCAGAAAGGATACTATGTATATGCCACATGTTACACGGTCACAGTAGTTCCATCTCACCTTTGAAGCTGCTTTAAATTATTTACTTTACTTTTTACAAAGACCAAGATTAGGTTAAAACAGCACATGAAAAACAGCTTTACGGCTTCTATTAACTGAGTTAACTGGGCAATGGGGGATTCACAAAGGAAATGTGATTGAGCATCTATAAACTGTTACACTTTGCAACACTACTTTGCCAATGAGAGCATCCTTTTCTTATAAATATGTGCATACAGGTAAGTAGGTATATGTAAAGTGAGACTTTACATGATTTAGAGTAATTTGCTTATGAACAGGACTGTGAACACCTGCATTGTTCATGATTTCAGCTGCCCTTTGCTTTATGATTTCAGCCTCCCTCTGCTTCCCGGCTTGCTTCCCAGTCTCTGTAACACTGTAAGAAAGAAGGAATTTCAGCAAGACTGTTAATTAAAGAACGGTCTTCCTACCTGAGATCAGGGAAGGATTTCAACATTTGGTGCATAAAGGTCATTTGCACAAAGGCCAGTTGGCATCCACAAGTAACAAACAGAGTATTTGCTCAAAGAGGGAAAGTAACCAGTAGAAATGAGATAACAAATTAAACAAAACAGCATTGAATGCTGCTCTGGTATGCCCCCAGAAAGCTAGTTTTCCCTTTGCCATGAGTGGGTAGAAGAATGTGGGATACAAAAGCAGAACTCCTTGTGCTTGTTCAGATCAGCGTATTTAAAAACTATACTATTTCTGTTTCAAGCTCCAGCATAAATTATTAAAACATATTTCCTTAGAGATCATTTTCTGGTCCTGACCAGAAAATTTATCAAGAGTAATAGAGCTATTAGTGGAGAGTGGTGTACAAACAGCAACCTGAAGATCCACACTGCTTGGTTTTCACTTACACTTATTCTTGGATCACACAAAGTACATTTTTTATGTGGCAGGAAGGGATAGGAAAGGAAATGTACTTCAAAAAAGAAGTCTCAGAAGATGAAGAGAGATCAAAAGTACATCTGTTGACTGACTTACCCCATGTTCAAGTAAGATAAAAGGTATATATCAATAGGACAAATTAATAATGGGAGAAAGCACATACAGCATCTGAATTTAGGACCAAGGCAACGAATAAAGCCGCAGTGTGGAAGTGCTGGACCACAACCTGGGAAGGCGCCCACAAGCTCTGATGGCTTCTTGAATGAGTTCATTCACGGTTGCCGGCCCTCATGTGCCAGACCCTTGGGATCAAGTCTTGGCTCACTGGAGATCAGTGGCAGGCCTCCCAGGCCCTTCAAAAGTACTAGGCTTTTATCAGTGAGCATTAGAAACTTTCTGATTCAGGGTTTCTGGACAGCTTTGGCCAGCTGATGTCTGAGTTAGATTCAGAACTTTCTAGGTGCTGAAGCTGAACAGTTTTGTACCAGTGCTGAGCAGAGATAGTTTATCATAGTTTTGTTGAAATATATCTGTTTGCAACCACTTCTGCTTCTTTAACAGATAAAACAAGCAAGTAATSAGCCAGATTACTGCAATTCCATGTTTCTCCTCAACATCTACTCAGTTCCATGTTTCTTTTTAACTTCTTGGCATAAAACCAGAAAGCACCCTGCAGAACAGGAAAGCTCTGCAAAAATGCTCTTTTACAGAACAGTATGTTTTTTCCCCTTTTGTGCATTTTGTCTTGAGTCTAGGTAATATCCTATCCAGGGTTACACGGACCAACACCAAATGAACTTTTAACTTTTTGTTGCGAGATGAAACCAACGGGCATGCATTTGGCCTCTCTTAYCTGAACCCAAGGACTTGGTATTTTAGTTAAATACAAAAAGTWGTAGTAAATTTGAGTACAGAGCCCTGCTAACAGTGACAGACAGAGGCCCAAGGCAGGCTTATATCTAAATCATGATCAAATCTATGATAGTATACCCCTTACTCCAGTAGTGCAGCACTGCAGCCTATGTTAACTTSATAACTTCTAATATGGTGAGAAATTGCCTCCAGAAACGAGCTAYGGCCATTTCTTTTTCCTTCTGTAGCCTGGGCCACTATAACTAGTACAATGACAGTGTTATTTCAGGATCTACTTTTTAAGATATAAGCTGTACATGTGGGATGGTCTTTAAAAGAACCCAAGGCCCGTACCCTGGGTTCTTATAAAGACCGTAAAAATATTTTAGGTCTTCTCACTGATGAATGAAATGTGTAGACTGGTTGAAAGCTAGCGGAGAGAAAGAAGGGGAATGATTCTGACCTTCAAGGTTTACAGGGCTRTTCACAAGGGCTATTCACAAGGCTSGGTGCACTGAATACACTCATCCCTRTCAGCATTAAGACTTTCTCCGGAGTCTGAAATCTGCCTTCCTCCTCCAGCTGCTTTCTCTCCCCTAYGAATACTAATACGTRTAATGCTAGCCATGACTTTGGCAAACTGCCCTCAGCTGGCCACAGTCCTTCTGTTCCTTTTCCCGGTCAACTTCAGTTCCCTTTTCCCTGCCTCTAGCACCTCTGGCATCACTGTTACTCTGCTTCAGTCCAAATTGAGTTCAGGGCATCTGTAACCTCTGTTGAGGTATCACTGTAGTTGTGTGACCAATTCTAGCCTGCACGGTTTTGGAAAGTAAGATTAAGAAAGGTGCAACTGTTCACCCACCCTGCCTCTTGATTTACTGAGATTTTGCACGTGGCCTTCCTGGATCCTGTGAACCCTTCTTTGCTGTTGCACTGAGCATCCTTCTGGACTGTGCCATTTCCTAGGTTATTGGAACACACAAYAACTGCTTATTAATGAGAATCAGTCCTGAAGTAGAACTTCCACTTTCAGGAAAAATCAGGATTTCAGGATTCAGTTTATCTGGAGGAGGATGAAAAGCTGAAATCATAAGAATATTTTCAGAAATACAGGACTCAAAAATGTGGTGATATTTTTAAAATTTCAATTCTCATCAAATTTAAAATTTTAAAATGAAGTAGAAATTGTTAATATTAAAAATGTCAACAGCTTCCAGTTATGATAATGTTGTTCATTGTTAATTTGTATAGCGTTTGTTTCCCAACAGGGCTGTTGTTGGAGCAACTTACCTCGAGGTCCAAACATATAGTCCACAAATGCATTTACTTCTCGGTCAAAAGCTTTCAGGTGCTCCTAAAAACAAACACATGACAGAGATATTATTATCTCATGGGTCACCTAGGCATCATGTCTGCTGAAAAAACAAAAAATTAGGGTATATTGTGGGCCAGATAGCAACAGAGGAAGATAGATTGTGGGCCAGATAGCAACAGAGCAAGAGAGATTTCCTCATTCCTGGAAACAGTGCCAAAAGCTGGGCTGTCTAGGAAGGGAATCATGTTCAAGATGGAGGTTTTACGCCTGAAAAAAAACCCAGCAACTATCACAGCAAACCCATATGTGATGGATATAATTTTCCCTTTAGAAATGATGCCTCCTTTTGTTTTGTTGTGTTCTGTCTTCTCAACTGAAACCACTATTTATGGAAAGAACCTGGYGGTTCCTTTGATCAGCTTTATAAAATGGTCTAGTGGCAGCACAATGAGCTGACCACACTGATGAGTTTCCTCTTAAAGAAGGAAACTTATGGGGAGAGATCACCTGAAATTTCTCTAAATCAGGCAGATGTTCCCTTTAAAAAAAAAAAGAATCTGTAAGTGGAATCTTAAACTCCCACTCAGGGTATTTAAAGAGGGAGGAAGGGGAGGCAGGAATAGGAGGGATGAGTTACAGAGCATTGTGTTTCGAGGTCCAAGTCAATGAAGCAGCATTGAAAGCTACTGGCAGGCGTAGCAAGTTTGGGACTGAGTTGGAAGCTGGCCCCGATTAACATAATCCTTTCCTCAATCAGACATTATGTCTGAGGGCTAAGTGTGCCTTTGAATGCTGGATATCTCCATACCAGCCAGTTTGAAGACCTGTGTTTGCGCTTCCCCAGCAAGTGTTGTGCCGTGGTGTGGGCAGGGAAGAGGTCCTGGAGCTCCCAAGACCCTTCAGTTCCTCTCCCTCTTACATTATGCTCCTCAGGAGATTCATAGTAATGATTCATTACTATAATTGCCTTGAGTCTCCTGCGAGTCTCTTGAAGAGCACCTCGTATTGAGGAAATTCATAGACTTTGAGAAGTTGTCCTAAACGCTGGTCTTGGAGGAAAGTGCTACAAATCCCTCAGCAACCTAAGGATGACGTCTGTGGCAGGAAAGTGCTACATTTCTGGATGCAGGATCTATGCAAGAGATCTGCTTGTATTTGTTTTTAAAACATCCTTGAGCTATGCAGTTCTACTACCATATCTTAATATATTCATGTGATTTGTAGAAATAAGTACACAAAGCTTCTTGTTTCAATGTTTACATTATATATGCAAATCTTACTTTTCAGGAATAATACAATAAACCATGTATTTTCCTTTTATATTCAAATGCTGTATTTAAATGGAATTTATAGATTGAAGTAGATGGAGTTAGAAGGAACAATCATAGAATTTAAAATAATTTATAAGAAGAAAGAGTCTAATGTAAACTTTACTGTTTTCATTGATCTACCACATGACATTTCACTTCTTAAGTCTGGCTTAGATGAAGAGACAATATATTGAATAGATGAGTGGGGTCTGAAACTAAATTCACCTCCTTATGCATGTGCTTAAATGACATTTAAAACGAGAGTTGTAGCAGCATATTTTAATTTGCATGGGATTCCTGCAGTGTCTGATTTGCTTTTCATGGATCATTTCCCTGTAGGAATTTTGATAAGATGCAGAGCAGAAGAAATTAATATACTTCTTGATTATGCCCCAGCAATTGTTTCCCTTCTAGCTTTCTTGAAGTTTATCTTAGCTTACAGGAATTAATTTAAAAATGTTGGTTGTTTGTCTTGTAGATTTACAAGTTTATTAAATTCAATGCATTTATTTACATACCAAATACTTGTACTCATAGTTCAATTAAAAAAAAATCTCTGACTAGTTTGTCACCTTTGTGTCAACACCTCTGCAAAAGGCCATACTGTATTTTGAGCTTTTAGCACAAATCCTTAATAATGCCTTTGGACAACTTAAGTGTACATATATGCTCAAAATAATTTGCTGTATTTCTAAAGAAAAGCAAATAAAAACAGCTTGAATGTTTTTCATGCTCAGAGATTCCTATTCTCTCTAGAAAATCACTTGGGCTACAAGGCTAAGGATTTATGTGTATTTTATGTTTTTATCTGTAGAACAGGGCATCATTCTTGGCATTGACAGTGCTAGTAGTCTGACAGAATTTAGGATCTTATTCTGTAAGATCTATTTACCAATATCTACCAAATAATATGTTAGTTCCTCAGGCAATTCAAAATACCCAAAAGGAAAGATGGGGGGGGAGAATAAAGGCAATGATGATAAAATAACATGCAGGTTTCTTATGAATTCCAGTATTTTTGCAACTAAAATGTTGATAGTAAGAAGCAAGGAGTGCATATATGAATTATTGTTCTCATGATGATTGAGCTTAAAATGCTATTTCAAAGTCAGCTAGTATGGAAAGAAACACCTTCTCATACTGATAGAGTAGTCTCTTGGTAAAGACCAATGTCTACCTGTTTTCTAATAGTTTTAGTAAAAGTACGCAGAAATATGCAGAAATAATGTATATGCTGTCTGGACAGTGCAGACATCAAAACACCTTTGATTAGGCAGTCATCTCTCTAAGCGTCAGGACATCCAGAGGCTGGTAATAAACTGCTCTCTGTCATTTGTGATTAATATGTGAAACTCAACACTTCAAGATTTCAGACATTTAGAACAAATTGGAGGGAGCTCAAGAGAGAAATGGACACAAAGCTGGGTGCTAAAACTGCTGCTGGTTCCAATGGCTGGAGAGGAAGCCAGGAAGGGAAACAAAAAGATAGCCAGAAGGGACCTCATCTGTTTCTTAGATCTTCTTTTTTGGCATTTGAGATCAAACTCTGCTGACTGAAGGGCTCTTGTGTAAGATGCATCTGTTGTGCACTGAGGCTGGCAAAGCTCCCAYTCTGCAGAAGGTAGCTAAGGAGAGCTAACAGAAAGAAGTGCTGGTGACTCCATCTCAAGATGTAGTTATCATTGCAGMGTTAGAAGATCTGCACCTTTGGTTTGGATATGCAAGCTCTGTAACCTGCATTTTAACTTAGTGCAAAAACCCCTATATGAAAACAGTTTGGTGCAAAACAAACAAATAAACACTAACCAACCCCAAAACAGATAGCTATTCCAGCTTTAGTGATAAATTGAAAAAATGACTAAACTTTAAGTTTTTCTTTTCTCTGCCCTTTTCCTTTCTTCTAAAGCCTTTTGCAAGAAATTGTAAGCAAACCAGAAAAGGCAGACATTGTTTTTTTTTGTTTGAAAATTACTAAAAAAACCTTCTAAACACTATTTATTTATTTTAAAATATTTTTGATTCTCTATGTTGAAAGTAGCAAAGACCAGTACTGTTTCATAATTGTGAAATATATAGTATTTCCTAAAGACTTCTGTGAAAGTCGTGCTTTGATTTTTTTTTTTTAATTTGACCAATTTAAATTTCCATATTTTTCATCCATATGACATTTTATTTGTTCATACCATGCAATCTAGCACAAATGACAACTCCAAATCTTTGAAAAAAAAATATAAAGGAAAATTTCAACATGAAAGGAGAGCTGAACTTTGCTTTTATACTATTCATAGATAGTTGAGCCTACAGATGGGCTGGCTCTGCCTTCCCCAGCGGAGATGGAGAACAGCTCCATGAACAGGGTCTGCAGCCAAAAGCAACGTCTTCTCCTGGGCGGATTTAGCCACCATAGGGAAAAATGCAATGATGCTGAATCAGGAAGCAGGAGGTCGCTTTAGGGCAATATGAGATTTTTAGATTTTGCCTCTCTGGTTGCTGTGGTTAAACTACCTGCCAGTGAATTCCACACTTTCAGTGGCTTTTTCAACAAGAACAGTGTTTTGTGATTTACGATATGCAAAATCAGTGCATGGATTCTGAAGTTAGTAAGTGTGGAGAGACATAGCTACATGCAGTGTATACATCTCTCCAATGTACCCTCTCCAATACAGAAAGATTTCTTTTGGGGCGGAAAGTTTAGAGGTTTGAGCTCCCATGTGTGTAAGCAGCGTTAGTCTTGAAATGTTCTTTCTTAGAGTACAGACAGGTAGGAGATCCTAAAAATAATCTGTCAGAGCAGGGTGAGCTTCTTGAATTAATTTCTGCCATTGGCAGAATTCCCTGAACAGTACCTCAGAGGTGCCTTTTCTGCACCATTGTCCAATATCGGGACACAAAGTGGTCACTGTCCTGTCAGAGTTCATTATAATGCAGCAACAGAAATCTTTCTTCCTTGATAGTGTCCCCCTTCTCTTTAGGTGGTTGAAAAGTAATTATTATTAATATGAATATTATTTTCCTAAGGTGTCCATGTCAGTGCACTGACAAGTGAGTTTCCCCGTGGTATCCTTATACACCTGGTGAAAAACACCACTTACAAGCAATGTCATCTGTGCCAATGTCATTTCTTGTTGTGTTGTTTCTTTTCCCCCTCGACTGTGCTGGAATATTAGAGGAAGAGTGAGCTCAGAAACCATCCCTTCTCATTGCCCATTATGGAAATACAGCAAAGGTTCTCAAATTAATAGCTCCTATGAACAGATTTAAAGGCTTCTCCCCAAAAAATTAAACCACAAGAGACTTGTGGTAGGTCACAGAACTGCCCTGAATTAAGTTCTATCTCCAGTAGAGAGGCTAGATTTCTACACTGTTAGTGACAGAAAACTTACCAAGTTCTTTGTCATCTCTTCTAGTGTCTGATTACTTTAGCTTTAAATAAACTTGCACRCTTTCTTTCTAGTGAGAACAGGTAAGAGGGCAAAGTGGAGTGGAAAAGACCGTCTCGAAGGTTGAAAAATTTCCACACGCTCCTACGTGGAGCGAGAGTTTGTGTGGCCTACATAGGAGTCGGAGGACACAAACCTCTTAACCTCCCTGCTTAGACATCTTAGGACTCCCGGGGTATTATTCACAGAGAGCATTAATAGAAACAGTGGCCTACTAACCACAGAGCCTCCGCTGCTCCTGCTCCCTCGTGCTGGGGTAGCGCTGAGGTAGCGCTCATGTCCCC